GAAGTTTTATATGTTTTCAAATGTAATGACTTCAGTAGAATGCATCTGGCCTTAAGCAAGGGTAAGCAAGATTGCAATCTGTCCCTGGTTTCAATAGATTAGATATTATCAAATAAATATGTCATTTTTGTAAGCAGAAAGAGCTTTGTCAAAGCTATAGAATGTTTGTCTATTGTTTTGAAATATAATTGTCTTTGAAAACCAGAATGATCCCAGCTAGAAAAATCTCCAAATTTATAATAAAAAAATAATTTTTACTTTAGAGAGTTACTAGATTTGAAGTTTGAAAATAATTTGAAAGAGGGATTTCCTCCTTACCTTCACATGTAATTCCATCACCACTGTATCCAGCGGGACAAGGCCCACATTTAAATCCTCCATCTTCAGCCGGCTCGCACTGCACACCAGTAAAGCACGGCATATTAGCGCAAACAACTTTCTGATGCGTCCCACCGCTGTTTTTTGGCAGTTCCACACGATCCATCGCCGTGTTGTACATCCTTCTGGCCACTGTGGTCTGTGTTGGAAGCCTTGCTTGGGAAGCAGACCCTGCTGGGACGCCACCACTCCGGAGAGCTGCATCAAGGGAAGAACCTATTAAATGGAAAGGGGAGGTGAGGCGTGTTGCCAAAGGAGATGCTCTCTGCTGCTCCATTGGGAAATCTTGGGATGGTTTAGTCTTCAAGACTGTGACTCGACCGGGCCATTTCCTGGGAGAATAGCTGTACTTGGAACGAGTTTGCTGAACAGCATGTGGCCTTGCAAAGAATGAACTTGCATTTGTGTTGCGATGAGAAGGAAAGGTGGGGGTTGTAGCTGGTTTGTATTGTTTAAAATGGAGAGGGGTATGGGTTGTCACACTGACAGTTGCAGCTCTGAGGTCTGGCTCCTCATACAGAAGGAAAGCGTGTGTATCACTTCTTTTTTCAAGAAAAGATTGTTTCTCAGGTGTTGTGGACTCCATATCAGGTTTTTTTAATGATGTCTGAGTTTGGGAAGTCTTACTTTTCATTGTAAGGGATGGAGTGTTAATGACTGCAGTGTTTCTTTCCAAAAAATAGGTAGTTTCTTGTCGTGGAATTTGGGTTTGGGAAAGAAGGGAATGTATGTTCCTTGATGTGTTTAAAAACCCTTCCTGGTGAGAGCCTCTAGCATCTTCAATATTTCTTCCAGCAAAATCCACATGGCTTTGAGAAAATCTTGAAACTAGGGCAGAAGGAAGATATCTATTAGCCAGATTTGATGATGAACAAACAGCAGAACACCAATTCTAGAAGTAAAAGAGTTAATCCATCATTTATGCTAAAGGCATGTTTATGCTGGCTGGCATAGAAATGACAATGTGGTGGCTGCTATGGGTCACACCAGCACTGGATGCACAGGGAACTGCAATACCAAAACTCACCGGGTGGCAGTTCATGAACTAGATGAAATATATTTATGCTGGCTTAACATTGAGCGTAAGGTAGTAAGTGTCAGTGAAGGTCAGGCACTATTCTCTGAGGTGCAGCACCGGGCTTACAGGGGTTAAATTGCAGCGGGGCAAAACCACTTGCCATGCTGATTTACTGATTTTGGCTTACACAGGTCCATGAAGTTTTGGTACAGTGCCCCTTTCTGTGGTGCACCCTACAGTTCTTGACCACCTGAGCTAATATTTGTTTCTTATTAACTGTCTGCATTGCAATAGTGTGCTGGGAGATATTCTGCTAGACGGTACATAACGCAGAGACTTTGCATTCAAGCTCTTGCAGTCTAGGAGTAAGATGAGACATTGCAGTTTGGGACAGATAGATATTGGAGATGGAGAAATAAACAATGGTACGATGGTCTTTGGCAAGATCATGTCCTAGAGAGACTCTAGCCCCATCACACCAGTGTATGACTATGTAATGCTTTTGTAGTCCTTATGGCAAAGGAAAGTTTTAGGGAAGCATTTAAAAGAGACAAATGGAAAAGCTTTGTTAATGCTGTGAGCAGCTCCCTCCAGACGTGAGGGGCAGCATGTAAGAGAGACTGCTGGTTTGTAACTGTCACCCACTCGTTACAAAGCCAGCCACCTTTTCAGTTGTGTAAGGAGGGATGATAGATGGGGAGAGGGTAGTCTGTGAAGGGCCTTGAAAGTGGAGACGAGTAGTTTGAATCAATACTTTCAGGAAGATTAATGGCCATCTGCTGACTCTAATGAATGGAAGAAGCTATTTTTAACCGGTTCTGGCATACTCACTCCATAGGAAATGGAATATATTGGATCCTGAACAAAAAACCTCACTTGGTTCTAGGGTTAACCCCATGCAGGATGTACCTCTTCCTTTAAATATAAATATTAATCACTTGCCTAAAACTCCTATTGATGTAGAAATCAGCCATAGTTAGCGAGGAAAGAGATTAAGATGTTTGGCAAAGGTCAAAATGAAAGTTAGAGCATTGACTAGGTCAAAGCAAATCCTGGCATCCAAAGTTCCATTTATTTGGCTGATAAACAGTGTCATTTTACTGGTGGCTGATGAGCTTTTATTGCCCTCAAGCGTAATGGTTTGGAGTTTTGCAATGGTACTGGATCAAGCTATGGACATCAGTAGGTAAACACATGGTATTTAGTAGACGAGAAGGTAAATAGATGGATTTTACTGTCCAAAGTAAGGCTGATGAATGATGAGGAACACAGAATAGAAGAAAAGAGGTGGTGAAGCAGGGAGGACATCAGCAAAAAGAGCATGAGAGGATAGGAGAAGTCAAAGGATTTTTAAAAATGAATGAGAGGAAGATGAAAGAAATATCCCCATAGAAAGTTATCAGTAATAGATGATCATTACTGCCTTTAGAAAATTTGATTCGGGGACCAGTAGTCAACAGGCATGGCAATGACCTCTCTGACAAATTTCCAAAATGAGCCCTGATTATAGCTTTGAGCTCCTTCCACTGTGTCATAATTAAATGGGTTTTCCTCCTAACTAAATTTTAGTAAACTAGTAAGGGATTCAGACTGACTACCTGAGAAAGGGAACTTGTTTATTTCTTTGTCAGATGATATAGGTGATATACCCATCCTGCAAATAAGCTTCAGCCTTCCCTGTAAGGGGGAGCATACTGTTGGAATGTACCTATGATAATGCATTTTTTACATGTCAAATAATACTAGCAATAAAGAATAGTGATACATTTAGGCTGGTTGTTCAATATGATATATAATAATCAAGGTCCCTCATCCACTCTGTAGAGGCCACTCAACTTCATAAGATGTTGGCATCATTCAAGTGTGGCAACTAGAGTGTCCTCTCAGTTTTCATTATTTCAGATTTTTACTTATAGTGATAATGTGCATTTTAGTTAGGATTAGAATATGACTTATTTTTTCTGGAATACCTGAAAATTTCTTTCTGCAGTATTCCAGATATCTAAATAAACTAAAACAAAGAAGTATACCAAAAGATTGCAGACTCAGTTGTCTGTAGTCAGCAGCTTTTTCAAATCCTGTATTACTTCAATTTATTTTCCTTGCAGTCGATCAATATCTTCAAATGTATAACCCATTATCAATGCAGAAGTGTGATTGCGTGAATCTGGTTTTCTCTGTGATGCCACTGTGTGATTACATATTGGACTGGATGAAAATAACAAAAAAATGACAAGGCAAAGTGCTCAAGGTTATATGACGGTACAAAAATACATTTTCACTACCTGTCACTATTTCTGCCTATACTAACAGGGAAATGTGCAGCAGCGGAACGATTGAGCTTATTTTTCACAGAGGTAGATAAGAGACCGAGAACCTGCTGCTTTGCTCCAGCTGTGCATGGCAGGAGCTCCATTCGAATCGATGGAGTTAGACCACTGCAAGCGCAGTGTAATGCCGGGATGGATCAGGCCCTGAGAAGATAGATTCCTCTGTTGTCCCCCTATTTGGGAAGATTAGAACAAAGGTGACAGAGGCCAGATTTCAGGGAAAGAAGTTTAACATCCCTCATCCAACCCAACACCAGGACACTTTCTGTCTATACAGTGCAGGAATTCCCCTACATGAGAACCGCCCCCCCAGCCTTCGGTTCGCCCAGTGTTTGAGGTATTTTGTGCTGCTTGCACTAAGCTCGTAAATCAGAACCGTCATAACCAGCCTCTGGGTCATGCTTGCCAATGCCATCGTGACGTTGTTAAGGCACAGCAAATTCTGATTTCTTCTCTCACCTGAATTGCACTTTATACTGAACTACTAGATATCTGTAGTTGAAGAGGATCATGTTCATCCTGAAGACAATAAAATGACTGTATAAGCTGGTGACAAAACAGCAGTTCACAAACAGAGCAGACGCTTGACAGTTTCTTAAACCCAGGGTGAGATATCAACACGGAAGCATAGAAAAGAAATTTAATATATTTTCTCTCTTCTGAGTTTCTGGCTCTCCCCCTCCCCGCCCCCGATTCACAAGCTTTCAGAAACAGGCTGCATTCAGACTTGATTCAGAGAAGTCACATCCCCTTCTGGCCACAGCCATTTCTGTTCCCAGAGAAGCAGCACACATGTCATACTCTGCCTTGGACAGGGTGGACCAGGTTGGTTACCATACTCCTCTGCGCTGTTCACCCAAATCTTTGCTGGTCTTAAACTTACACGCATCCACACCTTTCTTCCCAAGCCATGTGCCGTGGAGACAGCCCCATCCTGACCTACAACTAGCAGATGATGCCCCACACACTTGCTTAAGCTCCTTGTAGACATAACCAGGCATTACCTTTTCATTGCCATGCTTCTCTTTGCATCTGTTAGAGTTAGAAACCTAAGTTCTGGGTTACGTTTTTTAAATGTAAATGTAACTTTTTCATGTAATCACGAGGGAGACACTATACGCATCGCCGTGTAATCTCCAGTGCTGCTCTCTCCTTCAATCTAATAAAATACCACAAATCAGTCTACTCTTCAGGTGGAGACTGGCTCCTTCTCCTTAGCAAGATCCATCTGGCTGTGGTCTCTTCTGCCTGTCAGTTCAGACTATTATGGGCACCTTTAATTCTGATCAGGTTACAACTGCCTCAGAATTCTGTGAATATTTTAAGAATTCATCTCATTATTAACACAATTCAATAAATTTACAATTTGTGTAGTTTTAGAGCTATTAACATTTAGTAGTACATGCTGTGTAGCACATTTCTCATTCAGAAGAATGTCGACAGAGAAATGCTCTTTTGACATATTACACTATGTGGGTCATCATTTAAATTTTGAAATATCTACCAGCGCATAAATCTTATTTAAAATGTCAAGAGAGAATAGAAAAATTACACTGGTCTAAGAAGTCTTGTTACCAGAATATTAGGGATCATCCCATTTCTCTCTCTCCTTTTCCACATTAATATTTTTTCTGTATTTACTAGGTAAGAAAGGGAAAACAGACCAGCTGTCAATAGGAAGCTCGAGGGAAATTCTGGTTTTCCATCAATTCTTAATCTGCTGTTTTATTTGATTAAATTCTGGCATAACTTTCTTCTCTAGTCAGAGTGTGTTTAATTCCTAAATCTTCTCTTTAGCCATCCAAGCATACCCTAATGTCTTCCCTCTCCCAAATATTCAGAAATATAGCTTTGATTATCCCTTCCTT